CATGGATTTTGCCATGAGAATCTTTAGTTTGGTGACTTTCGCTATAAGACTTTCTTACATTTAGCTCGTCTTCGGATTTGTGTGTTTTTGTCAATCCAAAAGCCTATATCCCGCTACCGCTCTTAAGGTAATCTCATTTCCGCTGCTGCAGTCTTCGACATTATCTTTTTTTGTCATTGTTCACACTTCACCCTAAAGCAGGTTGTATTGACATAAATTTTTGAAAATTTAGTGAGTGGTCTCTTCTCACTTTTGAACTGAGTGCTCTTCTTATAGTTCCATTCATCTTGATTGAATCGTTCTATTTCTTATTTAAATCTGATTCGCCATAGAATATATGTCTGCTCCCAAGAATGTGAAGTGTTGATCTGCTCTACGTTTTATATTTACTACAATTTAGCGTATCAAGTATCGACCTTGAAATGCCATCACTTTCGTTTTGGTGTCTGATATTTCAAGATATATTCTGCCATTATCCACTGCAGTTCTAACGTTGCTTTTGTAATATATCTCTTCTTCTGGCTATTATTGCTTTCATCTGCAAATGTATTGTCCATAATTTGATTAATAGTCTAGGCTATCAAAAATTTTAATCTGCTCTTCCACTCACGAAGACTTCGTCTTATGTACATATCAAACAGTAGCGGTGTAAGACTACATCCGTGTCGTAGCTTTGGTCCACTTCCGTTTTTCATTTGGTTTCAAGGAATACATATTTCAGATTTATATACTATTTTCAATACAAGGATAAGATGTTCGGGATTCCTTTCTTCCTTAATTTTTCAAAGAGGTATGCCTGGCTACCCGAGGCTTTCTTGTAATTCTACAAACAGATGTGGTTTCCCTAGTTAGTATTCTCTGTGTTTCTCTACAACTTGTTTTACAAGATTGAAGAATATCTGTCTGTGCAGGACTCCTTTCCTTGACGAAAGCCACTTGTTCTTCAGTCAACATTGTTGCTGCAAGTTTTCTTAGTCTAGTGTCACAATTTCCCTCCCTAATAACATCTTATAAGGCAACGTTTAGAGAAGACTTTTAGTACCTCTTAGTGTCACATTATTGGATTCGTCTCCCTTTTTAAAAATATACTTGAGCACTATGGCGAGTTTCCATTCTGGCTGTATTTTTCTTCTATTCCAGAATAATCTCCTCTCCTTAGTTTGTGAGCATTTATTAGATAGATATCTCAGATATAGTTTCTTTTTCTCGTTAACAGCTTCTTCGATCTCTTTGAAGTAGAGCCTAGTGTTTCATATGCTGGTACTTCAATTATAGTTTTCAAATTCTTCCACTCTTCTTCCCCATCATTACTAATTTCAATTGTTTTAGTATGTTGGTTCAGACGTTGTTGGTACATCAGTTTGACAGAATATTTATTTAGTAGATATAATATCCAGATTTTTTGGGTAAGACAGGTTTTGCTGTTTTTGATTTTAACCTATCTCTTCAATAATGTTAGCTTTTCAAGGAGTGCGAAGTGATCACTATCTATATCGTAGATTCTATAAGCTCTTACATCTGTAAAGAGTTTGCTTATTTTATCGTTTGCCATGATGTAGTCAATAGTACTAATTTGACCACTCGCAATTATTCTTCAGAACACATTTGTATGGCTTGACACAATATTTCTGAAATAAGAAAATTGTTTAAATCTTATCCGTTTTTGTCATATCTAATCAAATTGATTCTACTATACTTGAATTATATCAGAAGTATTTAGGACTGAACTAGTACTGTTTTTCCACCCACCTATTCAATTTTAAGCGTGTGACAGAATTTGAAGACGTCTGTGAAAATCGTTTCTTTAGATCTCGGATTTTGCATTGTATGTAAATTAAATACCATTCGAACTTTGAACGACAATGTACTTCTTGGCCCTGGAACAACATAAAATACATTGAAGATTAAAAAAATGGAAGAGCTATGCGTTTTGAAATAAAGGGATCTGAAACTAATCAGAATATGGCCCTCCGGTCGGAAACGATTATATAAGCCAACCAGAGTCTGGCACAGTTGTTCGATCGGTTACTGATGCTACAACGGCAGGCTATCACGATTTAAGTGAGTTTGAACGTGGCGTTATAGTCGTCGCAAGAGAGATGGGGCATAACATCTCCGAGGTCGCAATGAAATTTGGATTTCCCGTTGGACTATTTCACGAGTGTACCCTGAATATCGGGAACCTGGTAAAACATCAAACCTCCTTCATCGCTGCGCCCGCAAAAAGATCGTGCAAGAAGGGGTCCGACGACGACTGAGGAGAATTATTACACGTGACAGAAGTGCAATCCTTCCGTAAATTTCTGCAGATTTCAATGCTGAGCCATCAACAAGTGGGTGCAAACCATTCACATCGATATGAGGTTTCGGAGCCGAAGGCCCACTCGTGGACCCTTGATGACTGTATGACACAGCTTTACGCCTCGTCTGGGCCCGTCATCACCGACATTAGACTGTTGATGGCTGAAAACACGTTGCCTAGTCTGGCGAGTCTCGTTTCATATTGTATCGAGCGTATAGACATGTACGAGTATGGTGACATGAGTCCATCGACCTTGCATATTATTGGGGAACTGTTCAAGCTGGTAGAGGCTCTGTGATAGAACGGGGCGAGCGAAGTTGAAGTGATGTGTGATCCCTCATTCGACTAGATACGACTCTGATGGGTGGGACGTACGTAAGCATTCTGTGTGATCATCTGCACCCATTCGTGTTCATTGTGGATCCCCACGGACAATGCGACAGCCCACTCCTCCAGAATTGCTACGTAGTGGCTCCATGATCACTCTTTTGAATTTAAGCACTTCCACTGGTCACCAAAATCCCCAGGCATGCACATTATTGAGCATATCTGGGATGCCTTGAAACGTGCTGTTCAAAGATGATCTCCAACCCCTCGTACTCTTACGAGCTTATGGATAGCCCTTCAGATGTCAATTACGTCCAGCACTACTTCAGACATTAGTCGAGTCCTTGCCACGTCGCGTTGCGGCTTCTGCGTGTTTTGATTTCTGAGATTATGCAGTTTTTTGAAATGTACTTATATCCATCAGATAGGTTTATAATAATTATTTGTTTGATTATTTATTTATTTATTGTTTTAAATGCCTGTTTTCTGGTGTATGGCTAGTAAATGGGGGATCACCTTTTAGGATTCCTAGATAGGGTAATGGAGAGTGGATTAGAAAGCAATTGAATTGTCCTACATATTCATCCGTTCTGGACCCTTTTGAATGTGCCCGGATGAATCCTCTCCCTTTGAAAGGGTCTAAGGTGTGTTACAAAGTGAGAAAGCATGATAATGTAATATCTAGTTCTCTGCAGTGTATGTGCAATGTACATTTATACTATTTTAATTCCAAATTGTTGGAGTTTCCAAAAAAGTTGATTTTTATATTTGATTTGCGATGCTTTTGTTGTTTGTGCGCAAGCAGTTTGTGAACATATATGTACATTAGTCTGAATTCTTAGGCCACGCAATGGGATTTAAATGCTTATAAGAACGGTTTATCACTTTCTCACGATTTTATTTTTACAAGTATTATTAAATTTCTTCCGTTTCGTATTATTTGCCAAAATGCTGATAAACGTATTGCATGCTTTTTCATCAGTTTAGTATTCATATGTGAGTCAAGTAGAGTGACTTAGTACATAGTGACAAAAAACAAAATTTATGTTTCACTTCTTTATGTTATTGTTTGGTAGTCCCTATTAAGTCAGTGGATTCCCATTAGTTGTATTTTTGCCAGTTGGTGTCGGTTTTTCTTGTTATTCCCATTTACTTGCGTATCTGACTACTTGATGCCCGACAAAAAACTGATATCTATGTATTTAGTGCCTTTGGGCGAAGAATTTTGGTTCATTCCCCTTGAATGTATTTCAGAACAGTATTCGTGTTAGTGACTAGTGGTGCTAAAACAGCACGTACTTTCTTGTCGGTATTTTCACGCTAAATCAGGCGGAAAGATCTCACATTTTCGAAACATTATACGTGACCTTATTTAAAAAATTAGCTTTAAGGAACAGATACCATTAAGATAAAAATATCTTATCTTCACTATTTTAGTTGTAGGAAGACCAAAAAGAGAACTTTCGCAATTTTCGAAAAAAAAAATAGGATTTTCAACGAACATGAGACTTGCACTATTCTTTTAAACGTCCTTCACTCTGTCCAGCGAAATAAAAGGAATAAAAAACGATTGAGCCATTTTTTGAAAATTTGGGAAATATCTCAAAGGCTTTATGTAGAGTCCTCCCCAAAGTTAAAATATCGGTTTCCTATTTCAGGGAACAGAACATCACCCATATCGATTGAGGAACATCAACTTTGGAGAAAATCGGCTGGAAGGGTTAGCCGCTGGTGTTGTTCACGGATAGACAGACGAACATACACGTTTCGCCATCATTCGATTTTTCGCTATCAAGGACCCACAAAACATGAATTCTGGTTATGACTTGCAATGGAGTTTTTTTTTCTAAGTTTAGATAGTGGATTTATCCACTTTTTCGTTACCAGGGCCTTGTAAAAAGAGTTTTTCTGACGAAAATTTGCCGTTTTCTTTTTTTTTTTTCGCGCAGCATTACATACCTTTCTCTCTACTGCTTGAGCCTGACCCGTTCGTATGATTGTTTCAGAGCCGCCACGTAGGTACCGTGGGGTGCCGGCCGCAGTGGCGCGGTCGCCGTGAAGGGCTCGAACCCGCTCGCAGCGCGCAGGGCCCAGCGCCCGACCAGTGCCCCGCCCCCGCTGCCCGCACGCCGCCTCTCGTCATGACCAGCGCATCCGGGCTGCACGTAGAGCCCGTCGCAGCCGCCGCCGCAGCCGTCGCCACCGCCGCCGCCGCCACGGGAGTTCAATGGAGGCGGGAGGTGATGTGCGCGGCAGGCCCCCGGTGAGACATTACGCACTCCTATTCGCATTTTTACTATAGCTTGACAACTTAGAAAAAAATCCTGGACTGCGCATGCGTGAAGAGTGGTTGAGGGGAAGGTTCCCTCTCTCAGAAACCTAACTTCCTCGTCTGAGGAGCCGCCGCCACCGCCTCGGCCTGGCTGGGCGAGGGCAAGGCAGCCTGACTTTGACGTTTTTCCCGAACCCTTTACTAGGATTTATTTAACCATGCATTTGAAGTAAATCAGCTGTTCACGGTTTCATCCAATCGGGAGCTTGAACGTCCTCATAGTGATGTCATTGCAGGGAGATACAGGCTGCCGATTGGATGAAATCGCAAGAGCTGATTTACGTCAAGTGCACGACTAAATAAACTGTATTATAGAGTGTTGAATGCTGGTATCTACAGTATTTATCCTGCGGTCTCGAACGGCTTTTGTGTTTGAGAAATATTAGAGAGAAATGACATGTCTTTCCTTCTCCACATGTACATTTGCTACATTTGGAATTTTTCTAGCTCGGAAGGGAGTCTGTTTGTAAGCGCTTCCTGCTGTGCGTAGGTGTAGATTTCACATTTGTTGTTTAGCGGAATTTTCGAGTTTTTACATTTCTGATGATCTGGCTTCGACCTCAATATCTGAAAGTGTATCAGGGCGACCATTGACAGACCAGGCTCGTGAAATAGTGTAACGAGCGACACAGGACTTTCGGCTTATGAACATCGCATACAATGTAACAAATGGGAACGTTGAAAAGAAGGCCAGCGATGCGACAGGCGTTTGGGAATCGACTTTGAAGGAAATTGTGAAGGTCAGGAAAGCCGACCCAGGGTCGATGAGCGATGACTCTCGTGCGTAAGCGAGGATGACAGCAGCGCCGCCGTCAAGAGCGGGAGAACGAAGTTGCAAGAGCAAATCAGTTATCGGGATGGCGTCGCCACGCCTTCTGGGGTAAGCGACGTCATTGTGGTTTTCTTCTAGGTTGTCGAGCTGTAGTACAATGTGTCAGGCAAGTTCCTCCGAAGTGGCACTATGTTGATGAGAGTGCTATCAACAAAAATGTTGTTGGCGCCATGAGCACCAGACCGCGCTGGGACCATCCTGGCGAGGGGGGGAGCGTAAGCGTATGCGATGTGATGGCAGCCCCTGACTCGGTTCGGTGCGAAGAGACTTTCCTGCCGTACAGTATTAATATTATTATTTTAGTTTTTATTATTGTTATTATTATTGCTATTAAACTTGCTATTATTGTTACTGTTATTATTTTATAATTATTATTTAATTTTTATTATTATTATTATTATTATTATTATTATTATTATTATTATTATTATTATTATTATTATTATTCTAGCGTTGGTGTATAGGTAATAAATGTCTTGTATGAATTAATAATAGATTTTTTTTACAATTTATAAGAAACCATCGACACAAGGCCCTGTTAATGTGCTACAACTGCGTAAAAATGACTACCCAGACCTGCATCAAACATACAGAATGTACGGGGAGGAAACATCGAAATTTCGAAGATAAACTCTTAAGACAATTTTAAGCATATTCTGTCTAATAAACTACTTGGATATTCCGAATGGCTGAGCCGCAATAAACACTCAGAAGTTGGATGAAAATATGTTTTCTAGGCAAAAATTTGCATTACAGAAACATATAAACACTCCAGAAAGGTGTAAATTGTTTATTATTTATAAAAGAAAGGAATATATTTGTACTGAAAGCAATATTAACTCAGAAATAATAAAGCACAGAATTCGACTGCTTTGCCAGGGCATTGCTAAAACGTATCACCCCTGAACTGTGAAAGAATAAAAACTGAGAAAGTTGTATCAAACTATGAACGATGTTCTTTCAACAAATAACGAAAAATAGTTTGAAATAGAATAAAGTTTTTGGAAAAACATTTTAAATAATAATTTTAAGTGAAAGGTTTTAGTTATCAAATAATACAATTTTTATTGTGATATGAAAGCGCTAAAACAAATTTTGTGCTTAGTTCGTGTTTAATAAAATCACTTGTTTAACACATGAAATAATAATATGAATTGCAGTGGAACCTTTTTTAATGTTGGAGTCACTCGATTGATTTCATCGAGTCCTACCTTATAAGTAATGACTATAATTAAATATTTAAGGTAAAAAAATAATTTAAAATTAAAGAAATATTGTACCGCGACTTATGAAATTACGATGAGGATTTTCTCGAGTTCTAATTTCTTTTTCAATTTTGTATTAATTTTTTCACATTAACTCCATCAGCGAACCCCTTCACTTGTAGGGCCCCGGGCGATTGCCCGGCCTGCCCAAGCCTAGAGTACGATTTATCTAGTGGTGCACTTGACTGAAATCAGCTGTTGCGGGTTCATCCAATCGGGAGCTTGTCACTTTTCCAGTTTTTACATTTCTGATGATATGGCTTCGACTTCAATATCTGAAAGTGTATCAGGGCTACCATTGAGACACCAGGCTCATGAAATAGTGTAACGAGCGACACAGGACTTTCGGCATATGATAATCGCATACAGTGTAACAAATGTTCTTCATGTCTTCGAGGCAGATGGGCCGTGGACCAATTGGCTTTGAAGTGCCAAACGTTTCGCCCACGACTCCGGCCGTGAAAGCCTTCAATGCTGTATAAATGTAACAAATGGGAACGTTGAATAGATGGTAACGTCATTATGGGGACGTTCAAGCTCCCGATTGGATGAAACCGTGAACAGCTGATTTACGACAAGTGCACCACTAAATAAATCCCAGTATGTCGCCGACACTGTCCCTAGCGCACTCTGAGCAACAGACGCCGGTGACAGCCTCGCTGCGTCGCCCACACGAGCGTCACGGAGTCATTCGATGTAGACAGACGCGTGCGCGTAGCGAGCGACATGGTGGACTAAGCCCCTTAAATATTTTAAAAGGGCTCCTACGTAATAAAGTATTTTATTGTCGTCGTCCTTGTTTAAAACGTCTACCTACCCTACCCTTTTTCCAGGGTGGAAAGCCCGTCTTCGCTTCCCTAGGGAGGAAAGAATGAACAGTGCTAACAACAGTCCTAAAGAATACCTTTTCTAGTTGTACCTTAACTCTTCTCTAAATGTTTTCATTATCTTTGAAACTTCTTGCCACAATTATAGTTGAGGTACTCAAGCCATGTTAATACCTTTGGAAGTAATTAAGTAAAAGTTTGAAAACTGTTTCTTAAACATCTCCCAATTTAACATTAGAGAGAGCATTCAAGGTCCCCTTAATAACAATTTGCCCTCTGCAGGAACCTGTGCAGAGGCGATGGACCACGGACGATCATATCTTCTTACTTCCTGCACTTTCCATCCCCAGGCGCCAATGATTGTAACAGCTGAAGTGGTCGAAACCACAGCCTATCAATCACTTCTCGTTTTCCGACATCTGACCAGTAGAATAATGAACGTTGCAATGTCAATTAAGTTAGAGATTTAAATTATGCACAGTTGAATGGTGTTTTCATCGTATAATTAGAATATGTAAAAGACAAACGGGTAATTCATTATTACGTTTTTCCGTAGATTCAGAATCTGCGATGAAAATGTAGGTTCCAATTTAAAAATCTTTAAAGTGCTCAGAACCTCACCGACAAGAGCGCCGGGTTCATTTTAGGGAAATTTCATTCTTTTTTCAGAATAGTATACTATACATATTACTTGCTAATTTAAATTAATTTTACGTGACATTTGAGTATTTCTATGGCTATGCTGTTAGCTGAAACAATTTTCGGTTAATTGCGCTACCACACAGTCTGGGAGAGTGCAGGAATTGCGTTAACACCCTACCAGACTTGTTGATTCGCACGTTCGCACTCTGGAGCTTTTATTGTCAAGAACGCGCTGAAGGCGCTTTATCGTTATAACTTCTTATTAACTCTCGCGCTATTGTTTTAAAAATGTATTTATTTCAGGCCGAATATTTATTAGATTAGACTGTAAAAATGTAAATTATATTTTATATTAGTATAGATAGCCCTAGATGCATGGTCATGCTACAAGAAAAACGTTAATTTGGCCATAAAACCAGCATGAGGTCATATTACCTTCAAATTACAATGTTTTTGTAAAATAACACCAAAATATTCCTGAATCGCTTTTTTTGTGATATAGCTATTTCAACTTTAAGCCAAAGTGTTAAATTTCATCATGGTGATATTAATGTGACCAAATGTTGAAATATATAAACATGAAAATTTGAGGCGCTTAACGTGGCCATATTACATTCACATACCTTATTTATATATTGTTTTACCGGAATAAACCTAACACACCGAGAATTACCAAATATCAGTACCAAAACTTTTCCCCGTCTTAGTCTAGTGAAATGTGTAATTTGGATATTTCAATGATTTGGAGAAGTAACCATTTAGGTAGATTACTTTTTTCAGAAATGTAAGTAATACAATCTTCATAAACAGAGGCTTAGTATGATCTAGAGCCATCAAGGAGTGCATCGTGTCCCCTCAACCCTACGCCTCACCCTGGATCACTGTCCCCGCTGTCATAAGTTAGATCAAAGCAGGAATTTTTACGGTTTTACTACTTTTCTGGTAAGTAGTATATATTTCCCCAATTATTACACGAAGTAAATCATATGAATTTGATAGTTGATGAGGTGAGGAGCAACAGCTGTCGGTTTGGTAAAACTGAAGAATTGTACGTTTTTGGCACTTTGCAGTTAACATGTATTTATCTCCCCAGTAATTGCCCTCAGTCTTATTGACCAGAGAATGTGTGAGTGGGAGAGATGACAGGAGACTCGAGAAACGGCATGTTCAAGTTATATTTAATTCTATAGAATTGAATTATAATTCTAAAGCACCTGTAACAAGTATTGTACTTCAGCTCCCATGTCGATCAGGTCATCGTCCAGTTTACCTGACCCAGCAAATGCTGTTTTGCTTCTGGACATAAATTTAACTTCAAATTAACTTCTCTCCATTGCACGTTACACACAGTTTTTAACTGTTTTTGGCGAAAAAATAAATAAAAGTTTCCCCACATTAAACTAAAGTAGTACTTTTAACGAATTTTGCTCTTTAGGTACAAAAATGAGTGTTATCTTTTTCAACTGTTCCTCGTTATTTCCTCACCTGGCTGGCATGTCCTCCATCAAATACACGTGCCCCAGCAAACTAACGGATCCACAAAACTATTTGCGAACACGAAAACCTGATTTTTAGGGCCTAGGATGCAATTTCTGTTTTAATGTGTATTGTATTAATCTGTTTTATGTCATAGTTTGCATCTAAACATTTTGTATTTGGTATTTATCAGGCTTATCTGTGTGAAGAGTTTTAGTGATTTAAAAGTCAGCTGTCTTAAACGTCTCTGATTTAAACGCCTGTAACATGGTCGCATTACAGGCACTTGCAGAATAGTCTTATTAGAGGGTCTGCGACTTCAGTTCTTCGCAGCCAGCAGGATTTGATATCGGTTTTTTCTCCCATAGGGAAGTTGGCTTCACGTCACCACTAGAGACCCCTTACTCTTTGAGGAATCTTCTTCCGCCAGTTTCGTTTTCTTCGAAAGAGTATTCTTCGACGAAGCCACCGTTAAGGCCTCTTCTCGAGTACTTCTTAGTCTGCTTCCACTATTGACCTGTTCGGCAAGGGAAAACCTACCAGTAGCTACGGTACATTGGGCCTAGTTTTCATGAAATTTGAAAGGAGAGTAAAGGATTAAACTGTGTTATATAAACAAAGAAATTAATATATTAGAAAATAATTAAATATATTTAGCTTAAGTGATTATATACAACTATATAAACCAGAATGGAAAAAACGTTTAGAAAGAATGGAGCAAAATAGGCCACCTAAACAAGTGCTACAGAACAACCCAATACGGAGAATGAATGTAGGAAAACCACATAAAAGATGGTTCGATGTGTGAAGATGGAACAGGCAGCCACCTAGTCCTTCAAGTGCAGAAGAAAACCTTTTCTATCTCAAAATATTTTTTGTCTTACTTTGTCTTGTTTGATGCATGACTAGGGTGTAATTTCCTATCGAGCTGGAGCTCACAGGGGTTTGTGTTGACAATTTCCTATTCATTGCAACAAAAAAAACGAAATTTATTTCCTTGCCTACTATACGTAGAGTATACTTTATGGTGCATTATACGGTGTATTTAGACTTCTCCGCACCAAATTTGCAGTTGTGATGACGGCAAACAACCACTTCATCAAATATTTTAAAATACGGAATGCTAGATAAGGAGTTACACGATTTTGAAATTGCTCCAGTATAAGTTTCCACGTCAATTCACGTAAATACATTTGTCAAGTGGCAAATGTCAGCCCGTCTCTTTCTGCGCTTGAAACCTTTAAAGCGTTCGAAAACTAGAAACATTAGAATGTTTCGGCGCGGCATGGCAACAAATAGTGTGAACCATACCGCCGAAAATAATACTTTGCCGTAGTATGTAAGATGAAACAATATGTTAACAACTTCTTAGAAAAATAGCGTTTTCTAGGTTATGATTAAGCTTTTGCACACACATTTTATTTACTGTTGTTCTTCATCAAACGCTGCTGTCTTTTGTTGCGATTAACTCTGGACCTCTGTATATCTCATTGTAAAGAATGACTCAGAATAAATTTCACTAACTTCTTGGACAGGGACGGGAAATTTCTAATGAACGTGAGGTGGAAAATTCCACGATGCGATACGAAAATCTGACTGTTCTTCTCAGAAACTCTTTTTTAGAGATAATAATTTAATGGCTGTCGGAAACGTTTCCTTGAGAAATCAGTTCTGAAGAAATGCTCCTCTTTTCAAGATGTGTACAAAATCAATTACACCAGAAAAATAAACAAAAATTTAGTAAAGGGAATTTTGTATTTGTTGCTCATATTGTACTTAATTCACTTGATGGCGATTTGCAAAAGATATTGAAAAACTTGAAGTGGAAGTATCTTACTAGAAAATGTTAAACAATCTGGATGACGGTGTTATGCAATTTGGTTTTTGCGGTGCAATGCTTTAATTTTATCCCCAATATGTTATGTTCATAAGAGTCTGTCTCGAAACCGCACTTACTTGTTTTCTAAATTAAATTATAAATGTTTACATCATATTGTAGAGTAAATCTGCGTTTTCTCATTTCCTTTCTGTTTTTAATTCCTTTAGTTATTTTTTTTCTGAAAACATCTGTGTAGATTATTTTATTAGTTAACCGGCCAACATCGGCTTATAGTAATATATGTTAATTGTTTGTCTATATGTCTATGTCATTGAAATTCACCCTTACTTGTGTTCCATTGCCGTGTATGTTATGTGTAATACTTGCCATTTCATTGCCATATATGTTACCGTCTGTGTTACATTACCATATATGTTATATTAGGGTTTATATTGCCATATATGTTACCTTATGTATGTGTTTGCGTTCATGTGTGTGTTGAGTTCGTAAGTGCTCGGCGTAGGTGCTCGCGCCCCTGATGCCGGAAGCGCAGCGCCTGAACACTGTGGATGTGTGGGTGTGGGGTGAGGGCGTAAGTGAACTGCTTAGGTGCTCGCGTCCCTGGTGCCGGAAGCGCAGCACCTGGACACTGTGAGGGCGCTGCACCAGACGGTGGTGGCGCTGCGCGTGGCGCTAGAGAAGTCTCGCGCGGAACTACAGGAGCTCAGGCAGAAGGTACGCACCACTTCAGACTTCCCCTTACTTCCTTCACAATTAGAAACATGTCGTAATCTTTAGATTTTAAGTCAGCACAACACTAACTACAATTATCAGTAAGTTTTAAGCTGTTTTTAAACTCTTAACATTTTTAGTGTAGACTAAAGAAATAAAAAATAAATAGATATATTCTTCGCACATACTTTTAAAAAATGGTCGTAAATTGGATTAAAAATGAGTTTTGGGGTAAGTTTCTTTCTCGTCACTCATCATTTACTCCAGTACATAGATACCACTTTAATGTGAAAAAACAAGACAAATTAATCTTAAACTTCTTGATTAATTAAATAAACGATGAATCTAGAAAAAAATTCAATGGCAGATAATTATTATACCGGAATTATTTTATTAACAGGCAGATTTTATTCAGACTATAATTATTTTATTAACAGACTTGATTTCTAAATGTATAATCATAGAGATCGAAACGACTATTAATAAAAATTAAAATTTATAACTGGAATCATCGTATTTATTTGATTGCTAATAATACAGTGATTGCACTGGCATTTTATATCTCGTGAGTGTACGTGACTGAAACGCAGTAACAATTTTTAAAGGTTAAACCAGTGCAATGAATTTGCCCGCATGGGCCCGCACCTTCTGTCGGCATTCTTTTCTTCCCTGCATTTTCTTGGATTAGCTTCTTATTAATTTGGACTTGTGATAAGCCGTTCTTCCATCCAGCTCCTCCTTTACTGCGTGCTAGTCGGGTAGTTTTTCTTCATCTTTCTCTGGCGAGCGATGCAAGACTTTATGCCAGACGGAGTAGCGTGGAGTAAAATTCAAAATTGTCTAGCAACAAATTACATATATTTTTATTTACTAGTAAGTAAGTACACTTCAGTATTAAAATATGAATAGTTGCATCTAAAAAGGAAGCTATAAGTTAGTAAAATCTCTTCATCTTTCAATGAGGAGCACAGCAGGAACTGATACGGCGGCGGATCCTGAGGAGCGTAGGGCCCGGTGAGATACTCCTTCTTAAAAAAATATTTTCTTAATTCAGTGATAATCGCTACATGTTTATCTCAAAATTGTGGTATGTGATTAAACTACAAGCAAAGTAAATGGAATAACGGAGTGATGAGACACATACCATTGGATAAGTATAATATGGAGTGGTGCTGCTTGATGCGTTTCAATTTTATATTGTACAATTTAATAATAACTAATAATTATTTAATTTATAGTTTTTTAATTTAATTATAAATCTGTTATTCTTACTTACTTTCACAAATATGATTATTTTTTAAAAATAATGTTAAATTGAAACACTAAAAAATGCTTTCAAAATATTTTTAAAAAAATACCAAATGCAATGTGAATTGATAGGATTTTTTAATATTTTAGCATCGAAATGGGGGGGGGGGTCTGTGAAAGTAAGAATAGGGAGGCCACCAAATTAACCTAGGCCCAAGGGTTCCCAAGCACCCTCCGTACGCTGTTCAAAGGGCCGTCTGGGATTTACACCTAGGATTTTCGAGTAATTAAGATTATAAAAAAATTAAAACACGTACTCGAATGCGTTAGATGAAATTTTGCCCCGTTCGTCCAGGACTAATACGTCATCCGTCAGCTGTTCGAAATGACGGCTTGACATGAACGTGACAGTCGCGGCAAACAAGTCGGCGCTTTAAACAGTTTGATGATGGATTATTATGACTATAAAAGAGGAATGAAATAGCAATTTTGCAGAATAATATCCTCAAATGTTTAACCCTTCATTTTACTATTACACCATGGAGTAATTTCTCCCTTTTTAAAAATTCTCTAATATTCTAGGACCTCAACGCATCCTAGTGCTTCTCGAGTTTTTGGAGACAGATGTTTTTGAAGACAACAAAAACGACAAGAAAACGTTCAATAGCCACGATGTGTCTTCATATTCCATCATATTTAAAAATATTTGTATGGTATCTGTTTTAGTTATCGAATCAGATGATTTCAAATCAAATCTATTGCTTCATTTTCTTAAGAAAAGTTGTACTAATTACTCTATATTTGAGTGTTAAAATATACTTTTAGATTATATTACGTTCCACATTTATAATAATCATGCTCCATCAGCGAAATTATTCTTCCCGAACCTTTGAACTTGTGGTGATCTCAATTTGTTGAAATATTTGTCAGCGGTCAACAGTCAACAAGTAGCTCAATTTACATTCAATTTTCAGATACCGATGTATTTAAGCCAAGGATGCGACATCGATGTCAGTATTTTGGAAACAACGATTTTATAAAATCATCGATGTATTTTAATTTTCAGACCTATTTTTTTAACGACGTTTTGTGTTCGATGTTTTTACGTGCTCAATTTTTTTTTGAAATGAAAAAGTCTAGCATAAAAGGGTTCATACATTATTGTCACCATTCCTGTCACCTTGATTGATGCAATTTCGTTCGGAGAATATATTACGCAATCGGAGAGAAATCCAATTTCTGATCATGTTACTTAGTAACAAAACATTTTAATAATGAAATTTGTTCAAAGAATTGGTTAACCCGACCGGAGGTCGACCTCGGGCCTTCTGGTTACGCCCTTACCATGGTTACTGGTAACTAGTAACATGGCCAAATTTGGACTTCTTTATTGTTGCGGAATATATTCTCCGAGCGACCAAAAGCGTGACGGAAATGATGAAAATTATATACACATATACATAACAAGGAGCGATAATTGCGCTCATGAAAATTGTTCTAAGCATTCCTTGTCTCGGTAGCGTAGTGATTACAGCAACTGAGCGTAAACCAAAAAAGGTTTGAATTCTGGTCGGGTTAACCGATTTTTGGAACAAATTTAATAATAAAAAATGTTCTATAACCAATGCATGGTCTCAAAAAAAATTTTAAACAAATTGACAAAGGAAAAAAATAAAGAAAATATAGATTTCGTTGAAAATGAAACCTCATTGTTTTTTATATTTGAATAAGATAATTCGAATTGTATTAATTGTCTTGTTGATTTTTTGACTTCGTATTTCCAGTTAAATCAACAAATAAATGAACGATGCTACATTGAAATTGAGTTCTTTCTCATGCTCTTCAACCGTTACTAATTCAGTTTTAAAACATCGACATTTAATACCAATGAAATATATATATATATATATAGAGAGAGAGAGAGAGAGAGAGATAGGTAGATAGATATTGATCTCCTGTCGTTCAATCAATACGATTTCGCCCCACGGGTTCACAGCACTAAGCGAAACGAGTTGCTACTGGCGATTAAATTTCATCGACATGCGATGAGTCCAATTGTTCGACTTGATCAGAGAGATTCTCCACTTCAGTGACGTGCGAAGAGATCCTCCTCTTGATCGACTTGCAGAGAGATCCACTACTTGATCGACGAGCAAAGAAATCCTCCACGTGATGGCCGTGTAGAGAGAAACTCTTCTTGGTCAACTTGCAGAGAGCTCCTTTACTTAATGACTTGGAAAGCTACCCTCCACTTGATCAACATATAGAGACGTACTCCACTTCATCGACTGGCAGAATATCCGGTTCTTGATCGACATAGTGAGATCCCCACTATGATGGTCGATGGACTTGCAGAAAGATTTCCCACTTGATCGTCTTGCCCAGAGAGATACCCCACTTGATCGACTTGCTCAGAGAGATCCCCACTTGGTCGACTTGCCCAGAGAGATCCCCCACTTGGTCGACATGCCCAGAGGGATCCCCCACTTGATCAACTTGCCCAGAGAGCTCCCTCACATGATCGACTTGCTCAGAGAGATCACCCACTTGGTCGACTTGCCCAGAGAGATCCCCCACTTGGTCGACTTGCCCAGAGAGATTCCCCAATTGGTCGACTTGCCCAGAAATATCCCCCACTTGCTCGACTTACCCCGACGGATCCCCTACTTGATCGACTTGCCCAGAGATATCCCCCACTTGGTCGACTTGCCCAGAGATCCCCCACTTGATCTACTTGCTCAGAGAGATCCCCACTTGATCGACTTGCCGAGAGAGATCCCCCATTGATCGATTTGCCCAGAGAGATCCCCCACTTGATCGACTTGCCCAGAGAGATCCCCACTTGATCGACTTTCCCAGAGAGATCCCCACTTGATCGACTTTCCCAGAGAGATCCCTCACATAATCGACTTGCTCAGAGAGATCCCCCACTTGGTCGAATTGCCCAGAGAGATCCCCCACTTGGTCGACATGCCCAGAGAGATCCCCCAATTGGTCGACTTGCCCAAAGAGATCCCCCAATTGGTCGACTTGCCCAAAGAGATCCCCCAATTGGTCGACTTGCCCAGAAATATCCCCCACTTGATCGACTTACCCCGAGGGATCCCCCACTTGATCGACTTACCCCGAGGGATCCCCCACTTGATCGACTTGCCCAGAGAGATCCCCCACTAAATCGACTTGCCCAGAGAGATCCCCCACTTGATCGACTTACCCAGAGAGATCGCCCACTTGATCGACTTCCCCAGAGATATCCCCCACTTGGTCGACTTGTCCAGAGCGATCCCCTACTTTATCGACTTGCTTAGAGAAATCCTCCACTTGTTCGACTTTCCCAGAGAGATCCCTCACTTGGTCGTCTTGCCCAGAGAGATTCCCCACTTGGTCGACTTGTTCAGAGAGATCCCCCACTTGATCGGCTTGCCCAGAGAGATCCCACACTTAGTCGACTCGCCCAGAGAGATCCCCCACTTGGTCGACTTGCCCAGAGATATCCCCCACTTGGTCGACTTGCCCAGAGAGATCCCCCACTTGATCGACTTGCTCAGAGAGATCCCCCACTTGGCGTCTTGCTCAGATATATCCCCCACTTGATCGACTTGCCCAGAGAGATCCCCCACTTGATTAACTTGCCCAGATGGATGCCCCACTTAATCTACTTTCTCAGAGAGATCCCCCACTTGATCGACGTGCTCAGAGAGATGCCCCACTTGATAGGCTTGCTCAGAGAGATGCCCCACGTTATCGACTTGAGCAGGGTGATCAGTCACTCGATCGACTTGAGCAGGGTGATTATCCACTTGATCGTCTTGAGCAGGGTGATTATCCACTTGATCGTCTTGAGCATGGTAATTATCCACTTGATCGACTTGAGCAAAGTGATTATCCACTTGATCGTCTTGAGCAGGGTGATCATCCTCTTGATCGGCTTGCGCAGGGAGATCCTCAATTTGATCGACTTGCAAAGAGTTCGTCCATTTGATTGAGCTGCGAAAAGCGATCACTCAGTCGATCAACTTGCGTAGAAAGATGTTCCACGTGATCGACGTGGGCAGAGTGATCTTTCACTTGATTGATTTGCGCAGAGGAATGTTGGAAAATGTTATTTGAATCGCCTGTGAAAACCGGTTATAAATCGCAAGGCATTAGTTGGACCACTCTATAACCAAGAAGGTGCCACAGAAGAACTTGTAAGGTACGATGGTTTTACACCCTGGGAGACAAATTATGCCTTTAAGATTGTTTCATATTCTCTAAATAAATAATTTAGTGGTATCGAGTCCACGTACATTTTAAAAAAAATAAATGGTGGTTAATATTTGTATGTATTTCTGCATCTCACGATATAATTACGAAGTCTTTGCGGGTAATTTCTGTTCGTTGGTTGATGTGATCGATTTATAATTCCGGGTGCATAATCTGCTATGGTCATTTGATGCCGAAAAATGTGGTTAATATTACAGCGCGGCAGGTGAAGGTAATCCTTGTTCTCTAGAACGCGTCATCCAGCACTGACCGTCGCATCAGTATTTATTTACCCCTTCAGTTTTTCCGCCAGCTGAGCAACGCTCCAGCCGAGACAAGCTCTAGGCTTCGTCTTGTCTGTGGACATGTATTGTATTGTAGTAGGTTAGGTGTGTGTGTGTATATAGAAGTGATAAGGCTCATCAAGGAAAGATCGCGCGCGGTCTTTGTCTCATTCGTTTTGGTATTCCTCCACCATTTGCCTGCCATTTATCGGAGAAATCGTGAAATGAGTTTTTTCTGCGTGGTGGCGCCAGGTGCAGACGCACATCGACACCAGCGTGTACGTGGACACGATCGAGCGGCTGTCTCTGGAGAACCACGTCCTCCGCCAGCGCGTGCTCTCGGCCAGCGACTCCTCGGACGGGCACGCGCAGGGGCCCGGGCACGCGGCGGGCTATGCCCTGCGGAGGGACACGCCCTCGCCAGGCGCCGCCACCTACACGCTGAGCCCTGTGCCCGAAGCCATGGACAAGGTCGCCTCTCCGCTCTCCGCCTCTCCCAGGGAAAAGTAAGCGCGCGGCAGCGTTTTCTCAGCCTCCTGCACGGAAGTATAGTGCGCCGGGAAAGTCTCGTCTTGCAGGGGAGAGCGTTTGCAACAAAAAAAATTATGTTGGTTGCATGAGACGCAGCACGAGAACGTAAATTGCGTTTTCGCTCCTTTCATAATAGATGCTGGAAAAGTTGGCCCCTGCACTTTTTTCCAAGTAATCTGATTGTTACCAACATAACTACGATTTTTAATGGGAGCTCCTGATTCTGATCGGTGGCAAGTGACTTTCATGGCGCACTGTAGTACTTAGCTTCACTGCCCATTGATTTGATGTACTATGGTACTGGGCTGTACGGGACGAGTCGCGTCACAGTCGGTCGAGCTGGCATCAGCTCTCTCCGTTTGTTCCGGGCAGCCAAGTACCTAATAACCCCGCCGCGGAAGCCTACAAATTCAACAAAGGGTTACTTTGTGATATTCATACCGCCAATAATTCATGGCCGTATAAAATAAATTGGCTTTGCAAAGTAAATACAACAGAATGGCCAGAATCAAATTGACTGCCGCCTCCCATAGTGACAAGTTACGCAAGAGTATACGATTGAAAGTTTTGATGAATTCGTACTAAAAAACGAATAAAACTCTGTACGAGTATGCCTTTGATGCATTCATGTAAATGTAAAATGCCCCGACGTACCTATATCTCGACTTATATCGTCTACTTGGAAATCAACACTCATACGCCAAAGACTCATTTTCTCTATTTATCGATATTTAATAACAAAGTTGCCGTAATACAGAGTGATTCAAAAAAAAGGGCACAAACGCTGCTGACATCAAGAGGGTGTCACGAGAAAACCCCGCAATGCTTTGACAAAGAATGGGCTGCCTCGGTAGCTCTAATGCTAGAGACATTCAGATCTGGGTTCGAATCCCGGACGGGGCAGTCAATTATTTGAATAGCGTACACTTGTTTTTATTATTTATGCCACTGTTGCAGTAACCGTGTGATATACTGAAAACAAAATACAGTAGAACCCTGGCATTCAGAACTAATGGGGGTAGGGTCTGTTCGAATTATCCAAAAAATGTACCGTACATATACTGATACATATATATTAAGGATTGCAAGTCAATGCAACGTAGCGTGGGATGTGAGAAAATCGCAATATAGCGTAGCGATCACGTCGGCACATTATCACATCACATCATCAAGCTGATTCAGTTCCTTACGGCAAACAATTAGCGATTTGGCAAGTTCCTCTAAGTGAATATTACTGGTACATAAACACCCTAGATACACACGCTAGTTACCAGTGCAATAAACGTTTCATTTCGACACCTTGTTTCAATAATTGGTTGTTCAGTTCTACAATAGTTACAAAAACCTTCATTTGCATTACAAATAAGTACCTCATTTATTTTGTTCGGAGTATCAGAAAATTCGAATTTGCGAGGTTTGGACTATCGGGTTTCTACAGCAGCTGTTTGTCAGGGCCAATGCGCGCGATGTGCGTTCCAGGGAGAAGTCGCAGGAGGCGGCGGCGCTGAGCGCGGCGTCCCCCAAGGCCCTGGCCCCGAGCCCCGCGGCCGGCCCCGCGCCCAGCCCCACACAGGAGCCCGCCAAGGCCGTCCACAACGGGGAAAGCATGGTGAGCGTCGCTCTTCATTTTCCGCTCAGGGTCCCGTTCGGGTTCCCGATTGCGGTTCAGACGACCCGTTCGGGAAGACCCGATCGACAAACCGTTGGGCAAACCGATTGGAGACCCGTTCGGTGTTATGCCATTATTTTGGTGAAGCCTTCTGGGCCTGTTGGTTCCTCAATGCTTCGCTAGACAGTATTTCTAACAAGGCGCACTGGGCTATTGTGAGGCTACCGAGGAAGAGACGTAGTTTGCCATTATTTTTCTCCCCAACTTCAAAGTCCGAGGCATTAAAGATGAAAAACACATTTCATAGTCAATACTAAGCACTATCAAAACCATTAACAACTTTCTTACTGACTCAGCAATATACTGTGTTATAGTTTGAGACAGCTTCAGTTTGCTCATGCTTGTAACGAAAATAAAATATTTGTGTGTGGAAAGCAAACATCGCCCATGAGCTATTTGTGCATACGTACGACACCGTGCAATCTTTTCCGATCTAAGTACAACTCACTTAGGTTTGTGGGTTCGAACTCCGCGCAAGGCAATGATGTTTTCACTTTATAAACGAAACGTGCTTAACAAAATCAAACCATGCCGAATATTAATAATCATAATTGCCGAATTTCATAATTTACCAATCATTGCTGAGGGAAAGGAAGTTATGGAGATGTCATTACTAGTGTCAATTCGAGAATTTTTCGTCAGACATTGTAATATGAACTGATTCTCCAAGTAAATATGTTGGCAAAATGTGAGGAGGTAGTGGAGAATGCGCATTCACGACTGCAGTTGGAAACATATAAGAGGAGAGAGTTTGTTACGTCTAATAGTAAAAAAAAAACAACACAGACTACATTCCCAATCAACGCGTACTTCTCGTACGAGGAGTGGACTTGAAGTCCATTCTGAATGTTCAGTGCAGAAGGTTCGCAGTGGCGGTGATGGCGCGCGCTGCTCAGGCGACGGCGGCGGCGGCAGTGTCGGACGGTGTGGTGGCGCGCGCGACGCGAAACATGGAGGCCTGAGCGGCGCGGCGGCGGCGCCGCGCCGGTGGCGGCGGCGGTGGGCGCCCCGCGGCCCGGTGGCTGCCGGCGACGACGAGGTGCGACGCGAGCGGACGGGGAGGCGGGCGCGGGAGGCGGCGACTCGGACGACGAGGACGGCGGCGACTCCGAGGAGCTGGACGACATCGAGCTCATCTTCACCACCGAGGAGACCAAGGAGCTCGGGGTGAGTCGAGGGAGAGAGAGAGAGAGGGGGGCGCGAGGAAGAAGAGAGTAAAGACGGGTATAATGGAGGAAGGTGAGAGAGTGAGGGGGTGAGGAGGAGAGTAGCCACCATCCTCTCGATGCAAAAAACGAATGGGTTACAAATAAACTTATTTTTGGTCTTTAGTGCTTACGATAATTCTTAAATGTTTTCCGTTGATGGCAATTTTCTTTTTATATCGTAGGAACATAAGTATAAGTTCTTCATGTCTGACGACATTGGATTGCTAAATACACGTTTCATATTAAACATTATTGTGTTTTCATTAATGCTCTCTCAAAAAATTATAGATATGTTAAACAAGTTAAAAGCAAAAAAAGGTGGACAAGTTAAGTAAATTTAACAGACGCTAAGTTTCTCTTTCTTTACAACAGTTACATACAATTTCGTAAGTTGTTTTTTTCTCCAACTAATAGTCACTGTTTCAATCATAAAAGATATGGTGTTAATGTTTATAGGGTTTATATTCCAATTTATAAATATCAGTGAATTTTCTTCTGTGATAACTTGCTCTTCTAAGAATTCATTTAACGCAAGTTTAAAGACTCTCGACTGTGATTTGTCAAATTTCTTAGCGAGTAAAGGTGCATTAAATATTTAGTTGCACTATCCAATAGAGCATGACCAGAATTTTCCCTCAATAATATAGTAATTTACTATCGGTCCCTTTTAAATTAACGCATTTTCATCATCGTTGTGAGACATAAACGAAATCAACTACTTTTATTCATCTTTAATAGCCATATCCGCTTGGACCTAGTAGTCAGGACGTGTAATGGACTGTGTCAGGAGAAAGAAAAAGTTTGTGGAGGAGAAAAATTAATATTGACTTGTGATGTCATGCGTTAACTTAACGGGAGATTGCTTTGTGGCCTTTCCCTCTAGCGATATTTCGGTTCTTTGATGTCTGTCGTAAAATTTGTTCCTTTTTTGCAGAGTTTGTGGGCGAGCGAGTTGTTTTATTTCGCTAGTTATTTGCCAGATACAAATTGATTGCCCTTTTTGTTGCTTTATATCCAGTTGCCTTTTGCAGAAACACCAATGAACTTAAATTACTGTGGTTTAGTAATCTATATTCCTATGAAAATGGAAGTCAATTTAAATCTGTAACTGAAATAATTACAGAAATGCATGCGATTAATATAAAAGCTCAGATATGAACCACGAATACAATCAGTACATTTTTAAACCATTTTAACTGGAAAGCTATGCTACTGTTCAGGAAATTACCTTTACTAATTTGTATGTTTTATCACATATTAAGAAGTCATGATCTTATCAAAAATAAATCGTCTTCCAGGCGAACGTTTTGCAGAAGCTAATAATATATTGGTTTGTTTAAAATAAATTTACAAACTCGTAGAGCATTCAAAAAGAGGTCGTTGATACATTTTTGACTATGTGAATATGCTGGTAAATCTCATACGACCAAGTTACACATCTGACATCTTTGTTATCGCGTCTCTGATTGACACACAGCTCAACCACCAGTGGTATTTGACATGCAGGTTCACGAAAATCCTAAGAGACGTTTATGCTTACTCGCAATTACAATGTTGAAATCTTGGTCTTTTGTTCTGCTTTGACTCCGGTAGAACATTATTCTCCGTTACCACGCATCCACCAAACCTCGTCGACACCTTGAAAAGTATTTATGTTTGTTGAAGATGAAAGAAAAAACAACAATTTAGTCATTATGGCTGCGGTAGTGTGGTTAGCGTATCGGGCTGTTGTACCCTAGTTTTTGGACTCGATTGAAGCCGTGGATTTTTAAGTACTAAAACCCGCGCCTACTTTCGCCTCGTACGCCTACTTTCGAAGAGAAGTAAAGCTGGTTGACCCATGTTGTAGACTTACTGCATGTAAAAGCTTCTTAAGCCTGAAAGAAGCCTCTAAGCTGAATTCAAATCGTCTGTTTCATCGTGATACCGTCTTTCTCTGCAATATGCTGAAAGGAGCTTAGCAAAATTTGCGTTGTCTGACAGAACAGCAGGACTCTTAGACCTGAGTGTCTCCACGTGAAATAAGGCTTGAATTGAAATTACCAGAGGACCGTTTGTACCCACCAAACAACATTGCCTACCAGTCAGGGACTCTGTGTGAGAAAATATCCCTGGTGTATCTTTGTTTTATGAGATTTTCCACCATATGTAACTTGGGCATAAAGTGATTATCGTTGGTTCCCGAAAAGTTAGTTTTTAAGTCAATGTATTTAATGTTGCATCAACAAGTCTTCTGACTCTAGCCGCGGAAATCTAAGCCAGTGATGTCAAGGGAGATGCCACGGCCGGGAATCCGTGGCTGGGGTAGCTCAACGAATTCACCTCACCACACAGGTGATCTCCTCGCCATAAGAGAGCAGTCGGCAGTCACTCTGAATGCTTTTGCGCTTTACGCGCGAAATACCATTTAAGGACGTTTGTTGTTATTATTTTTTATTTACATTTTGATTTGTCGGTGCATATTTTCTTTTTTTATTCAATTCCATTTGGGTAAAGTCAGGTTCTAGAGTTCCTGAGAGACCAATTCGCAAACTATATCTCAAAGTTTGAATACTTAATCGATCCCCGTGCTCTATTTTGAGCATTTTTCATTATTGAAAATTCATGTTCACAGAATATGTGCTACCATACATATATATTATTCAAGCAGCATTATCTGTTAAGTTTGGCCGTCGTGATTTATGGAGTGCCTTATAAAAGTCTAATTCACTGTCTTCTGAGACCGATAATGTCCTCTCCCGACGCGAGAGAAGCGCGCTGCGTGCCAGTGTCGCCAGTAGGAGGCTGACAGCGCGTGGGCGCGCCCGCGCTGTTGTGCTGGAAGCAGGTGCTGCAGGAGGACCTGGTGCCGATCGCCGACGCCGAGGAGGACGGCGTGTGGCCGCCGCTGCAGTTCGAGTCCGCGGACGGCGAGGACGGCGACGCCGCCGCGCCCGCGCTCAAGCCGACGCCCGTGGCCGGCGCCGCGCCCGTCTCCTCGCGCGCCAAGGCCCCCTGCCCCCCCCCGCCCCCGTCCCCCCCGCCAAGGCCCCCATGCCACAACGCGGGCCGCGCGCCGCGCGCTCCGTGCTCATCGAGACCGACATCTCCAAGTGCGGCGTCGTGGACGAGGGCGCCGAGGTGAGCGCGCGCAGAGGCCAGCGTTGCCACCCCAGTACCAACCTTCGCACTAATGACAATTGATTTAATTATTCTTGGTCCATGTATTTGGAACAGACTAGTATTGTTGGAATTAAATAATTCGAATTACTTGAATTAATTCCAACAATAATAGTGTGCTCCAAATACATGGACCAATAATAAATAAATGATTGTATACAAACAGATAAATATTAATGATAATATAACCATTCATAATATAACTCAAGGTGACCAGTAATTTTGTTTTTACCAAAATAATAGTTGTTTGTAATATTGGTGTTAAATTAAAATTATTGAATTAAAAAAATATTATACGAATGTTAATTCATACATCATCAATTACTGTAAACATAAAATCCTGGTATTTAAACGTACCAGAATGTCTTCATCCTAGTACATGGTATCCTCATTAAAATTCTGATAAATATATCAGAAACCTGGTGCGACTGGTAACACTGACAGGGACTCGCGGGGAGTCACGTTTTTGAGTGTGCACTTCAAGGTTTTCAATGAGAAAATATTTCCTGTTTTCCGAAGTAGTCGATTAATTTATTGAATAGTGATTCCGAGCACGTAAACAACTGATGTCATTAGTCCCGTAAGTGTAATGCATGGGTTTCTATCGGGAGGTAGCGTTCATCTTCTCCGTCTGGATGGCGGAACAAGTCCAGTCAATGATTTCTTTGTTACGTGCAGGATATAAATTCATCATCAAATAAAGTGTTTATGTAGATGTGGCTGAACCTTTCTCAAACAGTTTGTCACCTTTGTTCGACCTAGATTGTAACACGAAGAATTCAGGGGAATATAACAGACTCGTGTAAAAGAAAAATTGTAGGTTTCACATATTCCACAGTTCTCAAAAAAGTTTCTTTCATTTAAGTTGTATGTATTAATTAGATTATTCTGCAAAGTGAAAGAAACTATTTGATAATTCAAGTCAGAAAGGGTACATTCTGAAGTGGATTACATTAAGTTATTTTTTTAACTAGACGGTCATTACTAGTCAATATTATTCTGTTGGCCTTCTATCTTTAATTTTTTTAAACTGTAAATTACGTGCGATATTACGTCTAAACTCCGCAGTCCATCCTTGTTTATTCGTCACCCAAAAGGTATACTTTTTATATATTATAAAAAGACTTTTTTCTCGTTTTGTTTTCCCATCTTATTTCTCTCTCGGCACTTTTTCTCGTCTTGGGACTCTTTCCCAATCGTCTATTCAGTCCTTTTTTACGTCGCATCGCTTCTTTATCGTGTTGCGGTGGAAGCGTTTTGTCGGATTGGATGATTCACTCTAACTCCCACATAAGAAACAAGCTTTGTTTTCCAGGAACCTGCGACCGCAGAAACTTTTCGTCTTTGGCTGTTATTCGCTGACGGGCACGTCGTTTAAATCCATGTTTTCCGTCTGAGGATTTACGATGTCTACATAACAAGGGTGCAGAGCGTTGGGAGGCACTTTTGAGGGAAGCGTCTGGATAAAGCCATCCTTATTTTTCGAATATAAATAGGTGGTATGTATATCCGACAGATGAAGAGCAAAAATTTTATCTATTCCCAGATTAAAACATTTTTTCACTATTACAAGCGAAACAAATTTGAGTGAATTTGAGATTATATAAATTCTGGTAGATGAATAGATAAGGAAGGTCACAAGAGTTCATTGAAACGTCGTGTGTCTCATATAACTGCCTGATATTTCGATTCTTATCGGTGAGTCGCAAAACTGTGTATAAAAGTCCGACGCTCATGTACCTCATTGCGACGCCAGAATTTCGTTAACTCAATTTTTAGCCTCAATTTTGTTAGGGTCGCACAAAAATGCTACAAGGGCGGCATTCAACTTACGAGACGGGAAATGGCCACGATAATCACTCTTTTTTCTAGGATTTTGAAGATTTTATTTGTGGTACTTTGTTTTACTTTGGGTAGGTATTTTTCATTATTTGTTTTTGTGAACCAAACTTTTTGTGAACTTCAGGGTCAGGCAGACAGACACTGAGGTGTGCGTGCATATTTCATAAGTCCGTCTAGCGGGCAGCAGCTATGTTCAGAAGTTTCCCGTGATTTCTCCCGTCAACACCAGGCGAATGCCGGAGCAGTATCCAAATAAACTTGCCACGAGCCGCGCGGTCTTTCCTTACTCTTCCTTACCATTTTCACCCCTTACTTTCACCACTACCACTCATGTCCGGAGACCAGCCTGGAGGTGAGCTTGTCCCGATCAGGGCGGTGCCTCGCTGGTGACAGACACCTGGTTGGGGAAAATCTCGCAAGTCCACAAGAGGTCGGCGTCGGAACTCACCATCCCCATCGGAGGAAGAAACCTCCACCCCACGTGAATAAAACTTGCACTACATTGCGGGCCAACATCATTTGACGCGGCCCAAAACACAAAATAATGAATCAAACAAAAGCTGTGCTGTTGCTAACCACAAAAAATAGGCACCTACGTCATGCTCCTGATAAGATGGCGTTAGTCCGATAAAATACAAATGGTTTTGAATGTTCATTAAAATCTATTAAATTGTTTTTTTAACGGAACCTAAATTAGCATCTGAAATCCCATATGATCCGTTTAAAGATATTTTTACTTTTTTCAGGTTTCTTTCTCATTTTGTTAAGAACACCATTTTCTCTCCAACTCTGTAAAAATAAACGCTTTTTTTATAGAATGCAATAAAAATGAATGAGCTAAGCAAAACTAGGAACGGAATAAAGCAATTTTTCACACTCCACGTTTGCATTTTAAAACTTTACTAAAACTTGGTTGTCAATAACAAGGGAAACTCATCGCGCGTAAGTTATGTAAAGAGAAATCTCATTCAAGGTTGACTTTCCGGACTTCTTCTGTAAATAAAGCGGAAGAGCGGGCCTGATGGCCCGAGTCTCGCCACGTAAAATAAGGCAAATTCAATTCAATTCAATTCAATTCAATTCAATAAAAAATGTTCACTTGTTTTATTCATGCGAAGTGTACTTTGCACGCACGTCATTAGTTATGTATGACGAACAATGTATACTTCAAATTATTGAAAACGAATGTTTCATAATATTCATAATATGTATGTTACCTTCGTCCTTTTAGACTCTCAGAAAGTTTTCATTCATAGGTAATAATGTAATGTTAAAGAAATGATGGTACGAGTGATGAGAACTAATTGGGAAAGAGAAGGGACTGAGATAAACAGAATGGGGAATGGATATGTATACTTACCCGTAAAATGATGCTGCCATGTGGAAAAATGTACTTGACTTACTTTCAAAACTTTAGGAATACTTACTGGTGTGATAAAGTATATTATTTTTTAATTCTTGTGATTAATGATTCTTATAGTGAACCTTTCTATGTAGCCTACTATATTTTGATTTTTCATAACTAGAATCTTCGCTTTTACGTTACAACGAACCATAAAATTCATAATGTAACCAATTTCACAACGAAATACAGAAACACCTTAAACATATTTTCGTTCGTATAATAGGTTATAAATCCCCATGCTGGGCTGTAAGTGGTCGATCTGCTTTCCCAATACAACACAGATAAAATAATTAGGCAAGATATCAACAAAACCCATTACTGCACAAATTTACATTTGCTTACCTATTTGACATACATGCCTACGTATGCTCCCGAGTGGTCTTCGAACATGGTTATGATTGCATTTGTATTCGAAGAGGAGGGTAGAAGGATAAAGAAAAAGGTCTCGCAGTGCGTGGCCCATCTGTTAGGATAGTGCCCCGGCGTTCACCTGATTTTCTCTGATTGAAGACACCACATAAAACTACCGCAGAGCTGTTGGCCAGCAGATTTTTCCTCCAGGCAGAGAGCGTTTGAATTCGTGGTAGCTCTGTAGCTAGTGTAGAAAATTCGCCAGCGTCGCGGCTCGAACCCTTGAACCTTCCGGGCCACCCAACCCTGAGCCCTTTCAGCCGGGCTGTCCGTGCTCGCAGTGTAGTAAAACTGTCCTTGTGGTCCTAGATCCTTCCTGTCAAAAGTAGCAGTGGCCACAGTGATTGCTCTGAGCCTTTTCCGCCAGTGGGGTTTCCGCAATGGGTTACAAACGTGTGTGCGTGTGGTCGTAGGTGGCCGGTCGGCTGTCGCGCCGCAACACGCTGCCCGCGCCGCTGGGCTTCCCGCCGGTGATGCTGCTGGCAGCACGCACGGCAGCGGCGCGAGGCGGGGGCGGCGCGCCGGGTTCGGCATGGCGCTGGCATGGGGCTGAGCGCCGGCCGCCCTTCGCCTCAGTTCCGCAGGCGTGCGGCGGCGCGGCGGCGGCGCGGGCGCGGCAGCGCGGCGGTGCGGCGCGGGGCCGGGCGCGCGGACGCGATTTCGCGCAGCGCTTCCCGCGCGCGCCCATCCTGGTGGAGCGCTGCCGCGGCGCCAAGCGCGAGAACGAGGCGCAGACCGACATCACGCGCTGCCCCGCACTGGAGGTGAGCACCACACCTTGATGGTCTTATTTCTTACCCGACATTCAAGTAATACAATTTTATTAAATTATACCATTTTCAGACTAACAATAATAATAGTATTATAATAAAGAATAATATAATAATAATAAATAATAATAATAATAATAAATAATAATTAATAATTCACATTTTAAAAAATATGGAATGTTGCATTAAAAAGTTTAAAAACCTTCGAACCAATTTTTTAAAAACATCAAGAAAAGCAATCTTTGAACTTATTTTCTATGAATATTTTTAATATTTTCTTTTAAAATAATGATTGCTCTTTGGCCGACAATTCAGGCTACGTTTCAGGTTGAAAAAAAATAGCGGAATGTTCTTCAGCGGAATATTAACTATAATAACTAATATTAACTATAAATAATTTGTTTACCGTTGTAGCCTTAAAAACATTTCCCGTAGAAAGTGTTGTTTTTTGTTCGTATTTTTTGATTTCGGTGCAGACTGAATCTCGCCAAAAATTTTATGCCCTTTTCCATGGATCGCAGCGCTGGTGTAGACGTGGCCCGTCATAATCGTCATATGTGCACGACGAGTGCATTGCACTTTTGCCGGCCGGCTGGCGGACGGAGGTCCCCTACAGCGCCATCGCGGGGCGGCGCGCGATACAGGGCAGTCGTAATTTGCTTCCCACTTTCACCATTTCAAGATTTGCGTTTCTCTCCTTTTGTGTTCGAAGAAGTTGTTTTCCTACGGAATTACGTAGAAATAAATTATATCCTCGGTTCTTCGACTAACTAAAAAGCAAATTCTTCTAAACGTTATAGAAGATAAATCATCTATAGGTGTTGTGGTAGGATATCTTTGGCATTTTTAAAATAATTAAAGATGTTGTTATTGCCAACAATGTTTTTTAATTCAAAAGCAGCTTTCGATGGCTAAGCCATCGAAAGCTGCTTTTGAATTAAAAAACATTGTTGGCAATGACAACATCTTTAAGATAAATCATCAATGGAGAAAGCATGCGTTTCTCAGCCATCTTCATTTTTTCCGACTGAGGTGAATGCGGTGGTATTTTTTTCTTCCTGGAATGACATACTCTACATATTGCCTTTCAATGTTTTGAACTCGCGTAGATGAAAAAAATAATTACAGTTTTGCATTATTCCACTCATTCTTGAACATTCGTGTAAACAAAATGACAATTCAACACAGTGCTTACCACTGTTAAACCACTGTTACTGTGCATTAATGCAGGAGGTGTAACAATGACCCAATGTCATCTTTCAATTAAAAAAAATCGAAGTATACACAATTGTCGTGCACTTTCCTTTGCCCTCAGTCTTAACTACCCATCTCAGTTCGGTCTTTCAGGAACAGATATTCGAGCTGATGTTCTTGTATTTATTTGTTTTGTGACGAGTTGTTGTAGTAAATTTAATGCAAGTCAAATACATTAAAACGAACCTAGTCTGTAGACAGTATTGTAAGCATGGTTGTACAGTTTGAGATTTTTGGTCGTGTACTCAATTACTTTAAAGCTAGCTTTGTAATTTTCCATTCAATGGTTATTGTAGCTCATTGTTTTGTTTATAGCAGCTCAGTGACAGGATGGCAATTTTCCAATCGCATCAATGAGAAACACGAAAGTTGTCTTTCTCATTGACGCGCACGAAAATTCATTCCGGTTCATGCTCATGTAAGCATTTGTAATTATGCATTTGTGGATCATTGGATTCATTAACATGATAGCAAGCTTGTGATTGTACTCCTTGTATACTGTGTGACAGAGAATGAAGCTTAAGAGCTATTACCAAATTAAAGGCGTGGGTCGTTTACAACTCAGTAAGCGCGGACGGAAAGTTTGTGTCACGCATTGCGTAGGGGTATTTTCATTATTAAAAGACGAAAGCAAATCTAAAAATCAAACCATAGCGTATTTATTTATGGCGGTTCAGAAAACCAAGTACCAATTCTGTCATATTTTACTTGTATTGGTTTTGTGACTTAAATGAACAGACACTGAATATTTTTATTAACTATTTATTTCGTATTCTATCATATTTTGCCGCTATTACTTAATAGTAAGAAGAAGTTTAATTGCAATACTAATTTGATCATCGATGTAATCTTGTTATTGCCTTATTAAACGAAAACATCATCAAGCAACTCTATCCTCCGATGTGGCGTGTTAATCAGCTTCGGATAAAGTTATAGATTTCCCAAGAAGTGCGTTTAGTAAAGTGATATTAGTAGTTGTGAAGATTGTAAGAAGTACTCGAACTCTCATTTAATTAACAATACACCGAATCTTCAAAACGTAATAGCTCAACTAACTGCTTTTTCGTGTTTACATTAGAAAAATCACTTTACCTTCTAACTAAGAAACATAAATAAATGTTTAACATGATATTTGCATATTGTACAGTTCGGTAGAAAGTTCAAAGCAACTCAATTTTTATCAGGCGATTCTTCGTTGCTTCATTTCTTAATTCACACATTTGTTCTTTGTAATAACAACTCAGGAGGGACAATAAATAAGCCGTTGTCGAGTTTCATGATGAATGCACTTTACCTGCATTACGTTTCAAACATTTGAGAATTCGACCTACTTTCTTAATGGTGAAAATTTCTGAAGATACCGATACAGAATTGTATGGATTGTTTGTTAGGAATCTCATTCGCGTTTACCCGGTCACGACATTTCTAAATCGAGCGCGAAATATAGACAATCGAGGGTTGCAAAAGAAAGTTTGAGTTTAAATCGAGAAAATTGGCTCTATTTCTGCAACTGATGTCGCAATTGATTGAACAGTTTTTGTGTAGTCAGAGAAGGCTATTTATCGCAGAATATGTTGATTGAAACGCAACCTATATATATCGCCAGACAAATTAGTTTGCTACCCGTTACAGAATCTGCCGAAAGATATTGTGCCTCCATGTCTTTGCTTGAAAAGCTTTTTGAGTGTTTCTCTCATTAGTTCAAGTGGCATACCATACGGTAAATTATTTGCAATGTAATTATTGTGAGTATTTTTCTTTTTTAGTAACAATTTAGTCATACGCATAAGTCTATTCACTTTAGTATTAGTGTAGTTATTAGTATTGGTATTATTAGTTAGTATTATTTCTTGTTCATTGTGGAACTAATATGATGAAAAAGCTTTTTAAATAAGCATATTTGTATTCAAAAGACGCTGCCGAGATATTGTGAATAATTTAGAAATTCACGCATTTACTCGCAAATATCATTAGCACCGCAAAAATAGATTATACACATGCAGACGTGAACAATTGTTTACCTGTAAATATTAAGCCAGAATGCAAGCAGTTAAATATACCTGCAGCTGTTCTGTTTACCATCGTGAAGACAATAGTATCTTATATTTTAATTGAGAGTCTAAATATAGAATTTTTCAAATACACTAAAATGGCGCCTTTCAACGTCGTCATGAGTTTTGCAAGGTACGAAAAACTGTAAAATTTGATCAAGGATTGTTCATTTTACAGTTTGAGATCTTTTTATCTTCGATATTCTCAAAAGTTTCAAATATTGTGCCTTTCCGTCAAGACTAATAGTTCTGTGAACCCCCACATTAATTAATTTTAATTTAATGAGAAGTTTCGTTTAAATTTTCTTTTAAATTGAAATATTATTTCACGTAATAAATAATTACTGAAATTAGACAGAATCTTAATTTTTAGTCGTCCACAAAAAGCAAATATTTGTATCCGGGCATTAATATTATCAGGTCTTGAAAATCCAGAATGTACTCAGTCTTATTGAAGTTAGTGGATATTTTTTGAAAAATCTTTAACAATGCATAGTTCGCATTCCACATTCACGCAACGGTGTACACGTTTGAAAAAACTTAGTTTACATCTGGAGCCTGCTACCAAGTTGCTTAGGCAACCCGTGCGACAATACTGTACTACGGATTGCATACCTTTTACGGGAATCATGCTGGAAATGTTAGTGCTCGACTATACCCTAAGTCTTTACTTACCTGCACTAGAGATGTTTACTCAATACAATTAATTATTCTCTTTGTGAGGCATCATTACAGTACGCTGATTATTTGTAAGATACCTTTTTGGCCGCTAATACTTTGGCATTGAAATTGCGCTGCTTGGTATTGATTTTGTCACAACTTTCAGTTTAAGCTCTAATTAAACATCACATCACATTTCAGTAATTTAATATTTAATGGTGTCACAGATTCTTGTAACTATTTCCAATGCAGATTTTGTGAAACGTTATTGTTGATTTCGATAAATTTGCAATCTTCATCTTTCGTCTTTAAGCACTATTTAGGAAGAACCCTTGCTCATCAAATATCACGCGTTAATTCTCGAAAAATGCATGTGTTCTGTTCCGATAAAACGCAGAAAGCACCAAGTTAAGATATGCCAATGAAAAACTGATTGGCTTCTTCAGACGAAGTGTTGATGAGGGAAGCCATTTAAAATTCTCATCAACTCTGATTGACGTTTATTCTTGACCCGAGGGGAAATGAATCTCTAGAAGAGAAAAACTCTCTAGAGATATCAACAATGATATCCCAGAATAATTCTCTTAATGTATTATACCCTCATACCTGCATGTTAAGTAAGAAATGTTTGATATATTATTTAAAGTGTTAATTGTGTAATGTGAATAATATTATTTTCTAGATATACCAATGAAGTTTTTTAGATTTACATCACTCTTCTAAGTTGCACATTTTTAACCCTACCAGAAAAATTCAAATTGTTCCATCATACACCTAATCTTAAATAAGAATACGACTTCAAATACACAAATAAAATAAGTATGTCGCTAGTGTGGTTCTCCGCAAATAACTGGAGAATTGTGACCATTAGTAGCGAATGAATTATTTTTGTACATATGCTTACATGTAGCACTGTCAGTCTTTTGAGATTATGATGAATCCTATGAAAAACAGGTATAAGCTCTTTCCCAGTCCCTACGAGTGGGAGTAAGCGCAGATTGGGGTAGGAAAGATTTCGCGCGGACGGTGAATTGCTGTTTAGTGTCC